TGGCCATTTTTGTCATCATCTTCTACCTCTACAGTGGGGGCTTGTTCACTTCCACACACTTCTTCTTTCGAAAAGCTTTCTTCCACAATATCATTATTGACCGAGATGTTGGATTTGACTGAATTGTCTTTAAGGCCAGCAGATGTTTTGGATTGGACTTCAACACTTGAGTCTTTAGGTTTGACATCAACTGTCTTAGCAGAGTCTTTGATAGAGTTTGAGGATCTCGAGTCCTCGAGATTAGCACTTTTAACTTGAGAAGATTTTGTTTTGGTGTCACTAGATTGTGAAGATACTATCACAGAAGAGTCATTTGATTTATTCTGCTCTTTAAGAGCTGATTGTTCAGTCTTTGTAGCCTTCCTAGAGATGACAGGGGAAGATTCTACTTTGTTAGAAGTTAAAGATATAGTATCTGATACAAGAGCTGGACTTGAAATAGTCAGGTCTTTTTGTTCAGTTAATGGTGCTGTTTTGCCACCAGGAGCAGAGGCTGGTATTTTGTTTGCTGTGGCATTACTTTGACTGACTTCTGTTGATTTTGAAGAACTTATTTCCTTCTCCACGGCTGATTTTGCAGATGATGCTTCTTTATTGGTAAAAGATTTGACAGCTGATCCTTTGGTCTGGCCAGCTAATGTAGGTTCACCTTTTTTCACATCTGGAGTTTTTGATGTAGATGTCACCTTTGGGCTGGCATTTGCTGATGATGGCTCTTGATAATTTAATAGTTTATTGATATCTCTTGATTTATTTTGGGTTACTGGAGTAGCTGATGTTTTAGGTTCAGTGCCCTCTCGCAAGGAATTAGCTTCGTTGTCTTTCTGAGGCGTATCTGAATCCTGGGGCGAAACTTTAGGCGTTCCTGGTGGCAACTCTATACCTCTCTTCTTGCCTTTCTTCCTTCCAAAGAACCAAATTAAACCCAAAATACCAGTAAACACTGGCACAGCAAATTGTACTATATTTCTCAAGTTGGTCATCTTATAGAGCTAATCTATGTTTCTGAAAAAAATAAATAGAAATAAATATTCAATAAACAATTTCAGATTCTCTTCCATGAGAGCGTTCTCTTATTCTTCAATCTGATCAACATGCTGAGCTTGATGTTACCATTTGTTTTTTTCCTTTTTTCGAAAATTTATAATACAATTCAATTTAAAGAACTAGAGCCACTCGTGGCACAGAGTGGGACTTTGCAAATGTAGCAATTTGCTAAAGACCCTGAAACCATCGACGATAATTGGGTCAAGCGCAAGAACAGTCTAAAGTTGAGAAATTTTTATTTTTTAGAAGATTCTAATACCGGAAGTGGACGTCAGACCTCACAAATGAAAGTATCAGCAGATAGCCAAGGTCAATGACCTTTGATCTTGTAAAGGAGAAGGTCTAAAAAGGTCAAGATCAAAATATATCCGTCATCAAAATTTCTAATTGCACACGACTATA